CGCGCCCCGATCCACCGCCCCGCCCAGCCTGGGCTCGGGAGTGCAGGGTGGGGTCGCCCGGGGCCGGCACTGCGGGAGTCAGGACCCTGCTGGCGAGGCCGAGGCCGGGGGCTCGCGCTCGCTCTGGTCCTGGGCGGGGCTGCGATGCTCTCCTTCGGCGCCGCCTGCGCCCTTTTGTGCCTCTGGGGTCGCGATCCCGGGGTCTCTGCCACCCCCCGTGCTGGGGTGAGCAGGGCCAGGTCCGAGACGCGCTGTTTACTCTCGGGACCGAGCAGTTCGCAGCCGCCCTCCCCTCCCCCTGCCCGGGTTCCGGACCGAGCATCGCGCGCTCTGTCGCTCTGTCCTCCACGGCGCTGACCTCCCGAGCTTTGCCCTTGAACCCAGAAGGGCTAGAGGAGGACAAGCCGGGTCCAGAGGTCCCGGCGGCCTCCCCGCTGGACGCGCCTTCTCCCGCTGCCTCTTGTGAATTCTGCCCGGCCTCCCGGTTTCCTGACCTGGATTCCGGAGGACGAGTTCTTCCCTTGCCTCCTCGCTCGGTTTGTCTCGCGCTCGGCTTTGTCTTTTGCTGTGGTCTCGCTGTCTCCAGGGTTGTGCTGTTGTTCTTTCCTGCTGCTCGGAGGACAGAAGTTGTGTCCTCCTTGGCCTTGGGCCCCGGCCGTTCCTCCGCTGGCAGCGTTTGGGGAAGCCCTGGCCATCCTCCCGGTGCCGTGGGAGGGGACGGCGGACGCCGCAGCCCTGCTGGGTTCAGCAGCGGGGACCCCAGGTGGCCCCCGGGCATGTGTCCCCACCACACCTTTTCCGGTAGGTTCCCGGGCTCTGCGCTGCCTCCCCGAGAGGCCAGGCTGTAGATTTCCTCACCGGCCCGGTGGGCTCCAGGCTGGAGTTCTCCCACCGTGGCCTGGCTGGGAGGGTGGCTGACTCCCGCTTCTGGAATTCGCCCGGCTGAGCCGCAGCTCTCCAGTGTTTTGTTTTTCTTTTTTCCTTTCTGTCAGATCATCTCCAGGATTCCCGCGGTGGTAGGAGAAACTGCAGATGAGCTCTCAGCCTCTCCCCTCACGCCTTTCCTTTCCCTGGGCAGCCCAGGAGGGCTGAGTGTGCCTGTAGACCTGGGCTTTGAAGATAGATCCCTGCGGAGACTGAGGAGGTCTCGGGTTCAGGAACCTACTTTTTGCAGCTATCTAGTGGAATTCGAACCCAGGCCTGGCTCAGACCAATCAATTGCTCTGCTTTCAAAAACTGAATAAAACAGAACAGCTCTGAAAAGTGCTGTGAGTCATGTGTGTGTGTGCAGCCCTGCTCCCGCTCAGGAAATGCTCCTGTGGTTTGCTTTGGTGCCACCCAAGGGAGCTTCAGTGGCATTGAGGCAGGTGTCCAGACGGGCTGATGGAGCAGAATGGCTTGGTTTGCCAGAAGGGAAACCAGGGCGAAGCTGCTGCTTCTGAGCTAAAGTCCCGTCCAGTAACGTGCAGAAGGTCGCTGAGGTTCTCTGGTTTTAAGCTGCTTCTCATCCTTTCTTTCCAGACCTCCAAGGAGCTTAGAAGCAGGCATGTGGGATGACACTCACTGATGCCCACACACCGGTGACCTGCCAGGCGGGGGGCCGTTGCCGGAGGTCTTTCTCAGCCCGTCCCAGACAGGTAGGTCGGTGATGGGATTAACGTGGGAGAAGAATGAGAGGATATTGTTTTGCAGCTACATTAGAATTTGAAGCCAGGCAGAGTGTGGTGGCGCACACCTGCAATCCCGGCGCTCGGGAGGCTGAGGCAGGAGGATCGCTGCGAGTTCAATGCCAGCCTGGGCTACAGAGTGAATTCAAGGCCAGCCTGAAGTACATGGCCAAACTCTGTCTCAAAAAGACAAAAAAAGAAAAAAATGTAAAAAAAAAATAATTTGAAGCCCAGAGTGGTGGCGCATGCCTATAATCTCAGCACTTGGGAGGCGGATTGCTGTGAGTTCCAGGACAGCCAAGGTTACGTAGTGAGTTCAAAACCAACCTTAGCAACATAGCAGAACTTTGTCTCTCTCTCTCTCTTTTTTTTTTTTACTTTGTTTTTTTTGGTACCAGGAATCAAACTCATGTCCTCAAGCTTGCCAAGTAGGTGCTTATGCCGCTGAGCTATATCCCTGGCCCCAAAACCGTGTCTCAAAAATCAAAACAAAACAAGAATTTGAGCAAAACCCACCCTCCCTGACTCTCCAGCCAGAGGGGACTTCTCCACAGGACTGTCACGCCCCAAGGAAGAGAGGGACGAGTGACCCAAATGTGTGCTAGGAGCCCGTGAGGGGAGGGGAACTGGACCTCAGCCAGGCTCCCAAGAGCGGCTGTGCTGCCAGGAGGAGGGCTCTGGGCTGAGGGGCGCATCTGAGAGCTGCAGCCTTGGGCATGAGACTTGTCCCAAAAGCGGGGTGCAGTGAGGCTGGAGGCAGGAAGCCGGGGCAGAAGCGTGTGTTCGAGTCTGTCCATCACGGGAGTGCGGGCCTAACTGGGGAGAGAAAAACTAAAACATTTTTCCTTCTTGGCCGTGGATCTCTTCTAAAAATTAAAATGTGGCTGGGCATGGTGGCACATAATCCCAGTACTGTGGGAGGCTGAGGCAGGAGGATCACAAATTTAAGCCCAACCTGTGTAACTTAGTGAGACCCTGTATCAGAGTAAGAATTTAAAATGGACGGGGATACTGTGAAGGTCCTTAGTTCAATACCCACTATCCTTCCAAATAAATAAATGTGTAAAGTTTTAACCTATAAATCAGATAAAAACAAAACCACTGTCGCAAAAGGAGAAGCTGACACAGAACTCCCCTCACTCGGCTCCCTGTCCTACCGCCACTAGCCCTAATGGCTCTAGAGGGTCTCTAGAACTCTCAAGTGCGCTACACAGAGGTGGAAGCCAGGGGTCCTGTAGACCTGGGTTAGGGGATGACAGTTCCTCCACATGCCTGTTCATACTGTTTTTTCAAAAGAGAATAAAAAAGCAATAACAAAGTAACACATCAAAGACAAAAACAAAACAACATATAAACAGTAAAAACAGTACAGGATTTCAGAACAAAACGAAAGGGATTAACAGTGGTTGTTATATTGCACATTGTTATCTTCAACGAAGTTGCTCAGATTACGAGATACAAGAATGCAAGATTGATCAAACAATTAAAGAGAATAAAAAGTAATAATAAAAGGGCATGGTGGCGCATGCCTGTAATCTCAGCACTTGGGAGGCTGAGGCAGAAGGATCATTGTGAGTTCGAGACCAGCCTGGGCTACAAAGTGAACTCAAGGCCAGCCAGAACTTCATAGTGAGACCCTGGCTCAAAAAGACAAAATAATAATAATAATAATAATTATAAACCATTAGAAATGATACAGAGCTTCGCTAAACAAGATGGTAGGAATA